CGTTGGGCACCGCCTGCTGGGCCCGGGGCCCCTCCTCGCTCCGTCTCAGCAGGCGAAGCAGCCCCCGGTCCCCATGCGGTGATCGGAGCCCTGCAGGTTTCGTGGGGATGGAGGCGTGTAAAAAGCCGTTTAGAGGGGCTGAAAAGTCAGAAGTCAAGAATTTGGGAGTCGAGTTTTTGCCTTTGGCCGGCAAGTGTTCAGTGCCCATGGGGAGGATGGTTGATAGATCTCTTCCTGGATGTTTGTTCTGAGAGATGAGAAGGGGAAGTGGCAGAAACTAAGGGTGTGTTTTCTTTTGCCTGACTGATAAGGGTGGCAAAGATACATAGTGGTCTGTGACACTTCTGTTCTATCATCAGCCCACCTCTGTTCTGTCGTTGACACACTTCTGTTGCGTCACTGACACACTGTTGTTCCAATGTGAATATGAGTGAATTTAATATCAGATTTTATAGAAATTCTCTACAATACTGACAGAGCACAAATCACTTTTGCCCCTTTAAACTTAGAAGTTACCGTATTTTGCTTCATGAGGACAGTGCTGAAATTTTATTAACCTTTATTGAGCAATGGTAGAGAATAATAAATCTAATTGTAGACTCAAGTGTAGGTTGAGTCTTGTTGAGTGAAATTCTCAAAATTAACTCTCTCTTTTTCTTTGGTGATATCTATCGATACTCAGTTTTCTACCAGCTCCAACCCAGCTGTCTCAGGACCAGCTAGAGCTAGAAGAAAGGGCAAGAGCACAAAGATCAAGACAAACTGCTCTAGTGTCATCACGAAGAGAACCTCCCCCATATGGTTACCGGAAAGGATGGATACCACGGATGCTGGAGGTGAGTGTTTAAATTCACACTGTGGTACTGTGTCTCTGTCCAAGAAAAAAAAGAAGTATGTGTTTTTGCTGCAGAAATAAATTCTGAGTGTCTTGAATGTAGCACAAGAATTGTGTGAATCCTTGCTATCTGGTGAACCTCTGTTAAACGTCATAGATATGTTCTTGGGTTGGAGGAAGTTGTTGTAGTTCATTGTGTTATTTTAAAAGTTTTATCGTAAGCGGTTTACAGTGTATTGTACAGTCTCATTCCTTTAGAAATTGTTATGAAGTAATGTGGAAATATGGAAATATTTCAGTTCACAATCTGTGAATGCAGAGGTGTTCCAGAAAAGATCTGTATTTTACCCTCTTCATTATTTGTTAAATAGATGGTCTGGATTCCAGCTGGAATAAGTAAGCAGATATATGTAACATAATATAATTCTGTGCTTATGGGTAGCAAAAGGTAGCTGGTAGTGTGGAGGGAGAAACTTTTGTTGGAGTTGAGAGGAGATTTTTAAAATCTGCCTTTTTTTTTTAAAAAAAAAAAAAAGTATGTTACTGACAACAGAGTCTTGGATGGTAATCTTGGATGGTAGCTAGCTGTGATCCTGGGCTGTTTGGCATAACGTCAGCTGCAAGAGTTGAAATCCATTGCTCTTTCAACAGCTTTAATATTAAAGTGTTTTTATTGTTGTTGTTGGGTGTGTTTGTTTGTTTGTTTTGTTAGAACTAATTAATTATTTTGTTCCGTGTGTGTGAGGTGGGGGGAATAGGCAGATCATATATGATCTTTTTTTCTTGCTGTCATTCACTGTCATTCCTTTTTATAGGATTTTGGAGATGGGGGCGCTTTCCCAGAAATTCATGTGGCCCAGTATCCATTGGATATGGGCAAAAAGAAGAAAATGTCCAATGCTCTGGCAGTTCAAGTGGATGCAGAAGGGAAAATAAAATACGATGCAATAGCTCGACAAGGCCAATCAAAGGATAAGGTAATATTCCTTCAAATGTGTAGACTGGGAGCGTGTACCGGGGCTATTTTATATGTACACATTGGGCGTACTTCAACTTACTGATTTGGCATTAGACAACTGCACTACCTCCTTGAGGTGTACTCCTGTTTTCTTATAAGCGTAAGAGCTGAAAAATATCAGAGTGATAGGAACACTTGGCTTAGAGAATATAACCAACTAGGACTCAGTTGCTGTGCTTGTGTCATCTTCTCTATTTTGTAATTAAAAGTTAAGATAACAGTAATGAAAGTCTATGTATAAAACTTTCATGCCTTCCTTAGCTTTCTAGTGAGAGCAGGCTTGGTCACAGAGCACATCATTTTGGTATGGCAAATCAGGGTGGGTGAAGCGCACAAAAACGCAGAATGTAATTTTAGGATAATACATCTTCTACCTTATTAATATAATATTTGATGCTTCTGTCTGTTTTCGGTATTTGGTGGGGAAGAGATTCTCTCTCTCTCTCTCTCTCCCTCTCTCTTTTTTAAATTGCAGCAGAAGAATTGCCAATGTTTATACTCCAAGACTTCTGTATTAAGCTTGGTTCAAAACTTCCATTTAATTTAATGGGAGCAAGCTTCAATTTCATGTACACAGTAGCCTTTCTAAAGAAGAGAAGATGACACTAGAGTCTTAGTGAGCCCTAGGTAGCACTGAGGAGAATCTGAAAAGAGCTTTAAAAGGTTATATTAGGTGATGTATGCAGCTAATTACTTTAAATATAACAATTCAATTTCTCCTGCTTTACTGTAGAGTGCCTTAAAAGCTTATGGATATGTAAGATGCCCCCTACCTTAGTAGAGAGCAGGATGGTGAGAAAGCTTTCTGAAGAGGCAAGCAAGAGGTGAACTTTGTCTCTCAAGCCAAAAATTGGAAGAGTATCTGGAGATTTTTTCTTGTTTGTTTTAACGGGCAGGATTTTATTTTAACTGCTCCTGCAATTTCTGATTGCTTAAAAGGTAGTACCAGGATGATTATAGATTTAACTAATAGTTAGTTGATTGTCAAGCAAGTGTCACGTGTTGAATATCCTCATGGATACACAAGGATCTTAAGTTATTACAGTGTTCTGAAAAAAAATAGTTAAGTTGATCAGACTCCAAGCTGTCATGGGGATAGAAAAAGAAACATGAGTAGTGGCTGTAATTTTGAGAGGGCTGTCACTAAATTTTGATCAATATTTTATGTAGCATCTTGAATTACTTGCTAAGGTAAAGATGCTAAAATATTAATTACACTTACAGATTTTTGGGATTGAACTTGATATTAAGTAGAAATTTGATCTTCTAAGGTTGTGTAGTAGCTCAGAAATTCTTCTGCCTTACTTGGCTCAATTAGGAAAATGCTTCAAAGAACATGTCTTTGCAACACTTTGTGGAGCAAAATCTTCGAAGAAGTAATTGGAAAGAAGCTTGGAAAGTAATTTTTAAAGATATTAAGGTGATAATGAGGTTAAACTAAAGCTGTTAACATCTGTTGTATTTGATTCATGAGGATCTGTGTCAGTGTCCATGAACTTATCCGTATGACATTCTGTGAAGAAGAAATAATAGTAATTTGTGACCATACCAATCAGTATGGAAGAGATGAGTGACTTTTCCAAAACTCGAATGTGTTAATAGCAGAACTGCAATTAGGGTTTCGTAGTTCCTGACTCTAAACTCTGTATTCTGGATCAAGTTGATTCTGATCACATCCAGTTGGATGTAAATGTTGAGACTGAAGATTCAAATATCATGATTCAAGGGAGTTTTCAGGGGAAAATGATGGAGAATTAGATATTTGAAAAAACTGAAATGGAAGTAATAGAAATACTGTTGCTTGATTTGTCTTTGAGGGACCTCAGAGAGTATTAGTAAACATGTCTTTTGCATCTGTTCCCTTATCCATTTAAAAATAGTTGCTTCAGAGAAGTTTCTTCAAAAAATGTGGATATAATAGAGACAGTGTGACAAACATTCTGTTTGGAACTAGCAGCAAGTCTGGTAGATGTGATCTAGTGGGTGAAGGCAAATCTGGACACATGACCTTGTGGATCCAACGATCAATTTCCAGGTAGCTCCAGGTGAAAGACTTCCATCACTGGCTGCGTGGCTAGCTGAACTGCTGTGGATTTTCCCAGTACCGCCCCTGTTGATGTCACTAATAGCCAGCCTAAAATAGTGCTTGGAGCATCAATAACAGAGGTGTTTTGGGGAGACTGGTGCTCAGTCTTCTTATTAGGAAAATAAGGAGATACTTTTTCATTATGCCTTTACAGAGACAGGAAGGGGAGTGAACTTGAGAAATGGTGCTGCTAGACTTAACTTTTTTATGGCAAGGATGACAACTATTTTCTGTGCAAAATTCATCTTGCTGGTCCAGTGCTGCGGCTTAGATGCTAATGGAGGGAAAAGAACCACAGATACAATGTACAATTTTCTCTCAAGATTGTGAATGAAATTGAAATATTCACAAGAGGTAGTTGTCAGTAGGTCAGACTAAGAGAACATGAATAGAGCTAAAATAATTGAAAGTGTTCATTACTCATAACCTCTTTAATTTCTCGGTAGAGGTTTGTTTGAGAGCTTGGCAGCAATTCGTTCTGGGTTATGTTTGCCAGGCTTTGAACCAGATAATTGTCATGTACTTCAGATGATGAAACTATTCTGTTTTCTATAAAAAGAGAAAATTAAAAAGAAAGGCGTTTATTCTGTAATGCTTAGTAGTAGCTTCGTGATTTACACATAGTATTGATAAGCACTGAATATTCAGAATAAAATCCAATGAGGACCATAACTGAAGTGTTAAAAAGTAAATCACTTTTTGTCAAGACACCTCTTATCAAGCTTTTTGTGGAACTCAGTGTGATTTAAGACTAAATCCTCCTGCATCTGATGAGTTAGGAATATTCTCTTTCTGAGCATTTTCTAAATGCTGCCTGTGAAGGTTGCTTCTGCCATAGCAGGAATTATCTAGTTGTGCCAAAACTGAAGATTTGGTTTGTGGCTAGACTTGAGATTCTGTTTTTCAGTAGCAGTCAAAACGAAGTACCTGAAATACAGGTTGATTGTTTCCTTTTTAATTTCATGGATGAAAAAGGGTACTGAATAGAGGGCATGATAAAATATGAAACAGTCTTAGGCTCTTTATCTTAGTTTAATAAAGTGAAGATTGCTGTTAAAATGAGATAAACATCTAGCAAAGCAATGCAGTGCATCTGACACTGTCTTTATTGCATCAAAAATGACTCTGATTAGGTTGTGCAACTGTGCAACTGTGTTGAGTTTTTGATGGTGATATGAATTTTGGTATGTTCAGACTAATTTCATCCATGTTTTTGATCCATGCTTCTGATGCTTCCAATATGTGTTCAGTGCTTGGAGGGGAGGGTTAATTAGTTGATGTAATTCATTTATATCTCAGATGTCTTTCAGAGAATAGAATATACCATAGTTTTGAAAGAATTTCTTAGAGCCCTTCCTGTGCACTTTTGTGTGTGTGTGTTTTGTTTTCTTCTTTTTCTTTTTGGGGTAATCTGAGCTCTTTTCTTATAAGTTTTTCATGCCATAAGACTCTTCGGACTTAGAGTTAATTACTGTAGAGGGACACTATTCCTCAGATGTTTTGAATTCAACTTCTGAGGCTCCGAACTATTACTGATATTAAAGGATTAGAAATGCTAGGAGTTGAGGATAGAAAGCAGTGAATGGCTCTTAGTACTTTGAGGTCAGTTTCATAGTTGGACGTGCGCTTCACTTGGAATAATAAGTAAGCAGCTGTCTAATACTGTTCTTCGCCTATATTTAACGGTGGGCTTTAAGGCTGGAGAAAACTAACTGCTAAGTGATCCTTGAAAACTGAAGTATAAATGTCAGTTTTGAGTATATCGTAGGAAGACCAAGAAAGGAAGGGTGTAGGAATGGAAAGCAGGAAATGATTGTGTCTAATCCCAGCTCTACTTTAATACTTAAATTGCTTCTTTACTTTGATTATTCCATTTTTAAAATAGTCCAGACTATTTTCCTATTCTATGAAGGTCAATAAAAATGTATAATTGCGCTGCAGTTAGAGTTGTAAATAAGTGCTAATTAGTACCTAGAGTATAATGTAAGCTTAAAATATTTCCTTAGGAAAACTTCTATTTATTCCTACTCTTCAACACTAATAAAATATCATGTACTTCAGATTATTTACAGCAAATACACGGATCTTGTGCCAAAAGAGGTTATGAATGTGGATGATCCTGAACTGCAAAGACCTGATGAGGAAACAATTAGAGAGGTATTGTATGCATTGATGTGACTAGCTATTTGAGGTACACCGTGTGTCCTGCATATCTGATGAGATGCACACTGATATTTTTGTCTTAGATCACAGAGAAGACGAGAGCAGCCTTGGAAAAATCAGTGTCTCAGAAAGTGGCAGCAGCCATGCCAGTTCGAGCAGCTGATAAATTGGCTCCTGCACAATACATCCGGTAAGTAGTGCTGGGTGTGTCTGAGGTGCTGTTACATAGAAAATAGAATAAAACAAAGACATGCCTTGATTCCCTGAGAACAAGGCTCTTACCCTTAAATTCTGTTCTTCTGGAGGTAGTGTGAAAGCAAGTTACGTATCTTGAATTCATCTGCTAATGACAACCTAGTTTGAAGTGTGTTGAATTTTGTGGTAACATTTCAGTAGTTGTGAAACTGAGGAATTAATGTTGTTCAGCAACAAATTACAGGTTTGTCAGGGAGCACTGTAGGTCCTGCTGCCCTGGAGACAGCTTCTTCATTGGGAGTTTGTCCCCCAAACAAAGCATGCAGCAGGATTGTTCCCTTAAATAAAAATGAGGAATTGTAAAGAATTTGGAGTTATGAGGAGACTGCTGCATATGTATGATGATTCTCTGCTGCAAACACAGAATTTCATTACACAACAGGGTTAAGTTTAGCCTGAGATGAATTCTGAGTATGTGAAGGGGTCCCCATAAGTGGGTCCACCATAAATGGTCCCCAAAGATTCAGAAACATAAGGAAAGACATGGGTGACATGCATAGTTTATTAGTTTGTTCTTTTTCCTACCTTGGAATCTAGATGAATACGGGAGAATGTAGCCCAGGAAGGACGCTTTTTTCTGGTGTAGCTGAAGATCTGTGTTAGTTCAGTATCCTCTGTGCATTCACCAGCTCCTGTCTTTATAGTGGAAGAGTCTTAAACGAATGTGAATAATTGAATAGTGAACTGCATGAAAGCTGGGGCAAGAATGTCTGGCTGTATGCGAAGATCTGTTTTGTCTGTTTTATTCAGGTACACACCATCTCAGCAAGGTGTGGCTTTCAACTCTGGAGCAAAACAGAGAGTTATTCGGATGGTAGAAATGCAGAAGGACCCCATGGAGCCTCCAAGATTCAAGTAACTATTAAGAACTTCTTCATGGCAAATGAAGATTCTGAAGTGCATTTCCATACAGGGCTGATCATGTTTGTTTTTTAATTGTTCAGAATTAATAAGAAAATTCCACGGGGACCCCCTTCTCCTCCAGCTCCAGTAATGCACTCTCCCAGTAGAAAGGTATGAGACGCAGTAGTTGTTCTCAGGTTTGACTTCTGAGTGAGTTTTCAAATTCCACTTTGATATATCTCATTTCCACGCATCCTCTTGATGTGATACTAAGTGCTGTGGCTCATTGAAGGTTAAGTACAATTCTCATACATTTTAGGCAGATCTGCTTTTCCAGAGATGGATGAGCTGGCTGAGGCTCTGGCCTTGATTCCCTTATGCTGCTTGTAGACCACACTAGAGAATTTATTTGTGTTTTAAAGGTTATTTTCACTATAGGAGATGAATGTACTGGTTCATCAGTTTTCACAACCTGAACTCACTTCACTATTCAGTTGTGTTCTCTGATCACAACTTCAGAAGGAGGTGACAATAGCTGGGTCGTAACTTTCTGTTAACAAAGGCACAGTAGGCAAATGAACATCTCCCTGCTTCACAGAAGGGTTGGGGTTTTTGTAGCTGTGTCCTGAACTTTGTACTCTCACTTGTTTCAGTAGTTTAACAGCTGCATGTGATAAAGACAAATGTGTTTCTTTTTGCTGTAAAGCTAATGACTTTCTTTCCACTCTCAAATCAGATGACTGTGAAAGAGCAGCAAGAGTGGAAAATTCCCCCATGCATTTCAAACTGGAAAAATGCAAAGGTAAATAAATTGTCATAAATTCACCCTCTTAAAATTGCACCATGCTGGGAGACTTCTATGAATGATCTACAGCCTGAACAACACTGTTCTTAAAACTCTAGAGTTCAGAAACCGGCTGCTTCTATCATGGATAACACACAGTTATACAGCTTGTTTATTCTCTTGCCTACATTTTATACTTGTCAAATGGACAGGAGTATATTGCTGAGAGAGAATATATTACTTCATGGCAGAGATTGTGTATTTTAGAGAAGAAATAGCATTAGATAAAATCCCAGTAATAGTGCAGTATGTGGAGCCTAAAACCAAATCCGCTAGTGCTCACAGAGGAAAGCCATATAAACTGAAAGAGTGGAACGTGATCTTCAGAGAAGCAACCAAAAAAATATTTTTTCTGATACTGCAGTCTAAATTTCCAGAGAGATCTGAAAGTTTTTCTTTTGGAATCTTTGCACTGATTAATTTTCATTACCACCTAGCTTAGCTATTTTTATTTTTTGCAAGATGATGCACTGTCCCTTTGTTGTTTTCTTTAGGTAAGATTTTTCTTATTTTAATGTTCAGAGAGAAGAGAGAATTTATAATATGTTGCAGTGCCTGGTCTAATAGTTCTGAAACTTATCAAGCTCTTGTTTTGAGGCAGCCTCTCCAAGTGGAGGAAGGAAAAGCTGCATGTTAGGATATTACTTTTTTCTGCCCCCAACACAGCTGCGTAACTGGAACTGACACTAATTAGATCAAATTTTAGGTTACAGATGCTAGAAACAAGGCAAACATTTTGTAGAGCTCTCTATAAAGAATCTTATAACTTCTATAAATATTTTTTGCTTTTGGAAGCCAAAGTCTAAATTTGGTCTCAATTTTGCTGACAGCTTTCCCCCTTTTGTCATTTTGGATCATCTAACCTTTCAGTAGGTATGAAACTAGTTCCAGGAATTTAAATTATAAGCACAAACGTTAAAATTGCTTAGAGAGTAGGAAGGCTGTTGCCTGAAGTTTTTGATACAAAGCAAAAAGCGAGCTTATTGATAAAAACTATCATTCTGTTAAAATGTTATTGTAAGGGAAAACATAATCCTAATAAGGGAAAACACGAAGAGAAGCTAGTATTGCCGATACACATCAGCAAAACGCCTAAAGCAGGTCTACAGAGATATATTAATGATGGGCCAAGTTTTGTGGATTTTTTGTTTCATTACCTATTGCTCATTTCTGTGATTAACTCTCTGTTTCATTTCCAGGGCTACACCATTCCATTAGACAAGCGCCTGGCTGCAGATGGCAGAGGACTGCAGACAGTTCACATTAATGAAAACTTTGCCAAGCTGGCTGAAGCTCTCTATATTGCCGACAGAAAGGTCAGGTGGTTGGCTGTTCCGCTTTCTTTGTATGTTCATTTCCTTGGGAAAATCAACTGTGAATAGGCTGTAGCTCTTTATTTTGTCTTGTTGCTGTGCTGACGTAAGGTCTTTTGCCCAAGATTCTTGAATCAGTGGTTCAGCCTGGGTTCATCTGTTGGAGTTCACGGATTTTGTTTTGATGCAGGCTCGGGAAGCTGTAGAGATGCGTGCCCAGGTGGAGAGGAAGATGGCTCAGAAGGAAAAGGAGAAACATGAGGAGAAGCTCAGAGAAATGGCCCAGAAAGCCAGAGAGAGGAGGGCAGGGATCAAAACCCATGTTGAGAAAGGTGCTTTTATAAAAATATATTTATACTTCTTTAAAGTACAGATTGGGAGAACTTACAATAGCTAAATATATAATAATATATACTGAGAACTTATAGTAGCTAAATATCAAATATAATTTTTAAGTATGATATGAGATTTGTGGGCGTTTTCAGGTTTTGCTTCCTAGATGAACAAGTACTATTAAGTTTTTGAAAGGCAAGAAAACATAATTTTGGAAATGTCTACTTCAATATCTTGTCAAAGACAATTAATTGTGGTGTAAGAAAGATATGGTTTTCCTTATGTTCTCTTCAGTTTGCATAAAATGTAATAATTTAAATAATGTTAAGGGTCATTTTTCTTCTGTAAATTAGTGCCACATTAAATTACTCTGTGAGTGACTGTGACATAGTTCATTCAAATTTCAAATATTTATATATAATTAGCAATCTCCTATTTGTGCAGAGGATGGAGAAGCTAGAGAGAGAGATGAAATCAGACATGACCGGCGCAAAGAGAGACAGCATGACAGGAATCTGTCCAGGGCAGCCCCTGAAAAAAGGTGAGTCGCAAAAGGGAACTGCTTTTTTCCTGTACTCTCACTGGCTTAACTGACACTTAACTGTGTCATCTCTCACTCTCTCTCTTCATATAAATATATATTTTTTTTGAGAGAGAGAGAGAATTTTTGCTATGAGAATCTTCAGCCAAAAATGTCTGACCAAACAAGTTTAGGGTTCTCCAGATGTGTAAGGAGGAGTGTGGTTTCTTTGTATTTTTACTTTATTATTTTCTTTGATCACATCTTCAGTATATTCTGATTTTAGTTAACATGCTCACTGTGAAGATTGAAACCTGGGTCCTGTGCCTTCAGAGGGACTGGGATATCAGTGGCTGTACTTATTCAACCTATTTATTTTAATTGAGCTTAGATTTGTAAGTGTATATATAAGCCTATAAGTGTAGGCTGAAGTGTAAGTGAATCTTGTTTGGTTAAGTCAGTGAGATGTTTGAGGACAAATGATTTCTGGAGGCTTAAAATTTCTAATATCTTAAAATTAGATCGCTCAGCCTTCCTAGAATATAATTAATTACATTGATTCTTACAAAAAAAAAGTCATTTTAGACCAAGTCAGCTTGATGTAAACTGCAGATAGTGAAAAGCAAATGTAAATGTCATGCCCAGCTGAACTTAACTTTCCCAAGTGTTTTCCTTGCCAGGAGACAAATTTTACATGTTACATAGTAAGGAAGGTCAAAAGTCAAACTGAAGATCCCAAGGGAAATTGTTAGTAACTAATACAGCATGAGGTTGCAGTTGAGCATGTAACGAAATGTCATTTATCTGAGTTAATAACATTTGATTTTTAATCAGGTCAAAGTTGCAGAGAAATGAGAACAGAGATATCAGTGAAGTAATTGCTTTAGGGATACCCAACCCCAGGCCATCCAACGAAGTCCAATATGACCAGAGGCTCTTCAACCAGAGCAAGGTAAAAATATTGTTTCCCAGCTGTGTAGTCTTCTAGGAGAAGGCCATGCCAACAGCTCACCTTTGCTTTGGGTTTATGGCTAGAGTACTGGAAGGGCTCCGTACCCATGGGTGGTGTGCATGAGCACTGGAAGGAGGCTCAGCATCACTACTGTTCATCTCCTTTCTGGCATAGCTGTTGCAACAAAGAAAGGATAATCCATATATGTATATAATGGCACTAAAGGTTTGGGCTGGGAAGGGGAAGCTATTTTGTCTTCTATTTGGAGTGACTCTATCTTCTGCCTAAACATACTGACTAAGAGAAATCTACTATAGAGAGAAGCAAGTAAATACTTGCCATTGTGTTAACTTTGTATCTTTTAAGATGGCTTTTTAACAGTAAATTTATTTTCTGTTTATTTTGTGTTATTCAGAGTTAAAAAGAATGTTTTAGGCTTCAAAACATCCCTGAATACTTCTGCAGTTTATTAATCAGTATTCCTAATGCATCGAATGAAGGACTTGCAAGCAGACAGAAAAGCTGATAGACCTAAGAGAAAAGCAGGCCTTCCTCCTGCTTTCACAGATTGCATAAGCTTCTGTGTGATTTGGATCAGTTACCTTAAACCATGTTTTCTAGAAGTTCTAAAAAATACATATTTTGTTATCATTTTCACTTGCTATTGTAGACAGCTGTACTTGGAAGGCAGGATGAAGTACCCATTATTCTAAAAAGCCCATGGCCTGTAATCCTCCCTGGTGCTTTATGAAAGAGAAGTGTCCCTGACTGAGACTTGGAACGATTGGACTTAAGCCCATACCCAAAACTGTACATACATCGTAATTAAGTGCTTGGATGAATCTAGATCATGCTGCAAGTGTATCTTTAAGTAAATTACTTGAAGCTTTGCAGACTGTTTTGTATTATACTGCTGTTCATTTTTGCTTCTTCACAGGGTATGGACAGTGGCTTTGCTGGAGGAGAGGATGAAATTTATAATGTTTATGACCAGCCTTGGAGAAGTGGCAAGGATATGGCCCAGAACATCTACAGACCAAGCAAAAATGTGGATAAGGACATGTATGGTGATGATTTAGAGGCACGAATAAAGACTAATAGGTAAGAAAATTATTAAAGAATACTCTCTCCTAGCACTCTGCTGTGCCAAGCAACTGACTATCAACTCCCTTCTCCTTCAGATTTGTTCCTGACAAAGAGTTTTCGAACTCGGATCGTAACACCAGAGGGAGGGGGAGAGATGGACCAGTTCAGTTTGAGGAGGATCCCTTCGGTCTGGACAAGTTTCTGGAAGAAGCTAAACAACATGGTGGTTCCAAACGGCCCTCGGATAGCAGCCGCCCGAAAGAACACGAACATGAGGGCAAAAAGAGGAGGAAGGAGTAGGTGCTTCCTCTCCTTGAGGAACAAGGAAATGGACTACACCCATGGACTTCATGCAAAATGTATTTTTACTCTCACAGTTTTGCGTAGGGAGAGGGCAGTGTAAAATTTACATCTCTGTACTGTGTGAAGACAAACATACACCGTAGTTGTACATGAGACAGCTACCCATGGAAAGTGGAAGAAGGGAAAGCACTGAAGCAGTTCACATGAGAACTGTTCTTTAGCAAGTGCTCTGACTTGGCTACTTCCCTGCAGTCCAGCATCTCAGGGTAAGAATGGCAGTCCTTCCTACAGCTTTAGGCTTTGTCCATAGCTAAAGCTTTTACTGAATCTGTTAAACTCCCCTGCTGTACATAATTTCCCTGTCTTAATAGAGATGCTAGAGAGCTTATGATTTTGGTGTTTCTTCCCTGTGACCATAGTTTATCTGAACCAAGAGGGGAAACAGCTGGATCTAAATCAAATACTCATTCATAGTTTTTCAGCAATCTTTATTTTAGTTTCTTTACATATAGTGAAATAAAGCTGCCTTCCACCGTGCGCTCACTTTGACTCCTTCTTTGGCTGAACGCCTCTTCTACCTCTCTGCTCTCTGAGGTAGAGCTGAAAGAGATGGAAGTTAATCACATTAGTTAGGCAGGAAGATTCCATAAAACAGTTATAGAAGGCAGGTGGCTCATGACCTGCAACCATAAATGCCAAGATCTTGACAGGAATGTTGGGTGAGATCTGCATAGCAAGGGCTGGTTGTGTCAGCAAGATGGATGTTAAGCTTCTTAGAGTTTCAAGTGGAACTACTAGGAGGTAATTATTATAAGGCTAGCCTAGAATAAAATAGAAGTACTATTGCATTTTGCTTCTAGAGCAACTCTTATTTCTGGGAAAGGAGAAGGCAGGCAGCAGTTAGCCCTCCTGCTTTTTATTTCACTGTATAGAAGCCTCTTAGCTTTTGTATCTCTGATAAAGACACATTACTTCATAGGTGCAGGGGAGCAAAATTTTTTTCTACTGCCATATGCCACCTTTTTATACAGTATACTAATGCACTGAGATTTTCACACAGCATCATCTTTTTCTTTACTGGTATTTGAAATGTTAAAGACAACATCCTTCTCAGTAGGAAAGCTAGACTAAAACTAACCTTTAAAACTACCCTGAGTCCCTGAAAGCAAGCAGCTGTGTTCTCCTTGAGTTTTTGAGAAATTATAGTTCTGTCACCAACTCTGTTTTCACTACATGTCAAAGGCTGAGTTTAAATTCCTTGTCTTCCCTTTTTTCCTGTCCCTGTACGTAGAATATGTTGGAGTATACCTAAAGAAACATGTCTGAGAAATAGTACCCAGCTGCACACAAGTTCCTGAGGAGTTTTGCCCTATTAATGCTTTTAGCTTGTAAGGGTACAGGGTTTTGAGCTCCGGCTAGGGAGTCAAACGGGGAGTGGCGCCTACAAAAGGGTTATTTACTTGAAAAGACTACTCGAACCACACTAGGTGACTAACCTCACCTGCAACTTGTAGGGTAGAGTGGGGCAGAAGTAACAGAATTAACGTCTATTACCTTGGCACCCTCAAGTATGTGGGAGTCCTTCTGGAACACGTTCTGTACACCTTCTGGAGATGAGAATTTAATCCAGCAGAAGCGTTTGTGAAAGCCTGTGTCTCTGTCCTAATTACCAATAAAAAGAAAGTTTAGCTGCTGTAGAATAGATTCACACAGGCTGTTATAACTTCATACAGCTATTCAACACAAGGATATTCAACACCAGGAGAGAAAAAAAAAAAACTTTTGTTTCAGATCCTGTTGATGGCGGGAGGGGGCCGGGCAGAGGTCATTTTGCACCCCTTTCTCTCAATTTGAGTTTAATGATCATAGAAATGTAATACTTCAGGGTACATTTGAAGTTGGGAGAAACACATGGCTGGCTGCCTCAAACTGCAGCCTTTATCTGCCAGTCAGAACAGAACTGACATTTAAATGGCTGCCTGATTGGAAAAGCCTGCCCAAGTCTTTGAAAAGGATTCAGTGAGTAAAACCACTGTTTAGTAAGAAAGTAGGCTCCAATTCTAGGTGACAGGCACAAACTACAGTGAGGGAAAAAAAAAAGAAGTTTTAGAGGTAATTTGCCAGGCAAAGAGACAGTTGTCAGTAGATGGGAGAACAATACTGAACCAGGTTCCCTAGAGCAGTTGTTGCCCCAAGCTGTGCTGGCGAGGCCACCGCAGCCCTGTCACTGACATTCGGGCCCTGTTAGCAGCGTCTGCACCCGCTGCTGAGGCTCAGCCTCCACGCTGGGGGAGTCGCGCGGCACCGTTTTGGTGCCTCGGGCACAGTGTCGGCAGGGTGTCTTAGGCCACAGTCAGATATTTGCAACAGAAACAATTCTGTCAGTGTTAAGGATTAATGCTCCTGAGGCAGTCATCGAAACAACACAGTGCTTCCGTGCAGCAGTTTAATTGCCGATGCAGGCAAGTAACATGTATCGCGGCGTTTCACCCGTGCGAGACAACCCTCTGCACGCAAGAGCCTACTGAGCGTGTCCTGAACTTCCCAGGCGCGTCCTAAAGCGGATGAGGTTTCTGCGCGAGGCTGTTCACCCCGGGTGGGATGTGAATCAATAACTACACATCACTAAAGGACATGAACCTCTCCACCAGGCCATCGAGATGGGACGTAAAAGGTTTTATCTTTTGCCATCAGTAAGGTAATGCCATAATGGGGAATCTCAAAACACCTTTAGGTCAATAATTTAGAAGCGGCAGTGATGACCGAATTTAGGAGGATTTGTTTTTTAAATTTTTGCGCAAACCAGCAGGATCTTTGAAGCAGGACCATGAGCCGCGGGGAGACGGCTGGGGATCCCAGCGGGTACTCACGAAGGGCAGCTGGCACCGCTGCACGGGGCCGAACTGGGAGAAATACTCGCGCAGCTCCTCTGCGGACGGGAGAGAGAGACGCGGGTTACTCGGGCCGGCGCCGCGGCCGGGCCCAGGCGCGCACGCGGCGGGC